CTGAACAGGGACCACCCCCGCCCAGCCGCCATGATTTCAAAGAGATAGCCCCGAGAGCTCAGAGTTTCATTATTCACATTTTCCGAAAACCGCAGTGGTCAACTGCACTGATCACTTCCTATAAAGCAGATGCAGCCAAACTTTATTAATAGATTATGCACCTTCATGTATAAAAAACTAGAAGAAACACTCATATATACAATTCATACTAATAAAATATAAATGTTTTGCTACTAGACTAATATATGTATAACATAAGGCCAAAAAAGAAATCTAAGGATAAGATAAATAAATATAAGTTTACAATTTTCCTGTTTACAATTTTCTTTCCCCTACCCCAAAGAGTCTTCAAGCATGCAACCCACTTGGTAATACTACCCTGGGAATGATGTCAGGAAGTATGGACAAAGATGATCTCTCACTGTCCATGTTCTCTCGCCTTTGCTTTTAGCAATGGGCTGAAACAACACACAGTATTTCGCTAGAGCCAAGCACCAGAAGCATGACTGAGATTTCCTTATGCTTCCAGGCCCGGCCAGAAACACTGCCAGGCAAAACATGGAGGATGATGATGTGGATAATGATACATCTAGAAACCAGAAGCTGCTGCCCCATCCAGCCACAGGCTGAGGCTTTCAAAGGCAACAGAAAACCGGAGGAAAGTGTGGGCACTGCTCTCAGCACAGCAGCTCTAGGTGGCAGAATTACAGGGAAGAGGGCCAGGTGATCCACTTTCAGCATCTGACACAACACGGTGCTCTTCACATAGTCTTCTCACAAACTATACATGGCCAAGATTTTATTTGGTATGAAGACAAAAAGCTGGAGGACTGCTTCCCTGCAGACTGAAATCTTAATCTTTCAAGACAGCTTGAGCACTGCCATCTCTAAGAAATCCTCCATGAGCCCTTTAAGTTAGGCTCCTCTGTGCTTCGTATCATTGCATGCAAACCTTTACTGTAATTGTCAATTTCCAAACCTGAATCTCCCATGAGAATATAAGCTCCTAGAGGGCAGCCCCTAAATAGGAGCCTGGCATACAGAAGGAAGCAGCAAACGCTGAATGAAGAATGATGAATAAGCAGCAGGCAACGAAGAAAAAGCCCACAGCAGTTTATATGGTCCCACATTTTCCACACTCTTGGTAACACCACTGTGAAGGCTTCTCTTTTCAAAAGACTTTCCCACTGAAATACCACTCCTCCAGTTGGAAGGTCTGGCAGTAGGTTATGGTGAAGAGCTTATACAATAGCCCACGCTGGGAAGTCTATAACTGTATCCAGGGAAAAATAACTGCGCAGCCTGCACCCCAAATCTCTGAATTTAAGAACTTATTAGGAAGGAAAAGCGATCATTAGGACCTTGGACAGAAGTTCTTTGTGCTATCAGAAATAACAAAAGTGGGACCAGCAGTTGGCGTAATGGCTATGTCGCTGGACTCCCACGTAGTCAACCCGCAGTTCACGTCTCAGACCCAGTGGCTTAAAACTCACGCCAGGCACGTGTGCGTGCGTGCCCAAGATCCCAAGAGGAGAACGGAGGAGAAGGGATTGCGGTGTGGCCATCCCCCATGGGGGGTGATTTCTCGCTTTCTGTCTGTCTCTTTCTGTCTGTCTGGCGAGTGCACGCACCCTATAGCAAAAACCTCTCCAGAAAAAAAAGAAAAAAGAAATAACAAAAGCTCCATGGTCTAGCCTAGTAACTGCTCTTTTGTACATAACGGCCCTGTCTGGGGATGCTACTACTAATCACATTTACTTCTCTTGTCACCCAACTTAGAATTTACATTCAGAAGCGTGGGGTTCAGTCATTTGAGAAATACAAGGGATTTCGAAAAGTTCATGGAAAGATAAAATCAAAGTATGAGTCCACTGGGACCAGATGATGGCGCAGTGGTAAAATGTGACAATGCTGTACTAGGCAATCTCACATGGGAAGGTTCCTGGTTTGGGTCCAGAGACTTTTTTTTTAATTTAACTTTACTTCTTTATTTTAATTTGACCAGAGAGGGACAGAGCAAAAGAGAAAGAGAGAAAGTGAGAAAGCAAGCTGCCTGGTCTGGGATTTGAACTGCTATAGGCCATGTGGGAGACCAGCACCCTTAACCACTGCGCCACCCGCCAGCCCCATGGGTCCAGAGACTTTTAAGTCTATCATCCAGGGCTCATGAGCAATCTACATCATAACTTGAGGACTCTCTTTCACTCTCTCTCTGTTGCCCTTGCTCATGGAAGAAATAAATAAACTTCAAAGAGAGTGAGAGTTTATTTTGGTGTGAAAAGATTGAAATCCATGCATAGTTTTCTCATAATGTGCGATTTTCGTGAACTTCTGTTGACCCCTCATGTATACTGAAGGTTTAACAAATGTCAGACACCGTGTTAGCTGCTGAGGAGTTATCAGGGAACAAAACAAGGTCCCTGCACTTCGAAGCGTACATTCTAGTAAGAGAGACTGGTTAAAAAAAGAGGGAAAAAAAAAAACCCACGAAAATAAACTAATAAGCAAATTTGTTACAGACTGTGATAAGAACTATAAAGGAAACAGACAGATAATGAGCAGGAAGTGCGGGAGGTGACTCCTTTAGATAAGATGATCCTAGCATTTCTCCTTGAAAAAGAAGCACTGAGTTGAGACAAGCAGGAACATGAAGACAGTTTTCTTGGCAAACGGACGAGTGCGACAGTTAGAGGAAGGAAAGGGTTGATGTTTTTGCAGAACAAAATAGAGCTCCCTGGTGCAGCTGGGTCTCTCCTCCAGAGGAGGAGAGGGATTATATAGAAGAGGCTGGATGTGTAGTCAAAAGTCGGCTTATGCAGGATTTTATAGGTCATAGCGAGAAACATAAATAATGAAGATGGGGCTCTTAGCAGAAGAAATAATATGAAATATGAACCAGAAGGCTTAGGTCAAAGTTGAGACTTACATACTAGCATGTGACCTCAGGAAAGACAGTCACTCTGCCTCAGTTTCTGCATGTGTAACACATCTACTTACGGCAAAAGGTTGCTGGAAGGATCAAACTGGACACTATACGCAGACACACTTTATAACTTGAAGCATTATAGAAAGGAATATAGTATTGCCCACAAGAAAACAAACCACGAGGATAATTACCTGGCTGAGCAGTGTGCTGGTGAACACCTTCGGTGAGAGGCATCGGCAAGAACATCCAGGGAGTAAAGGGGAGAAAGAGGGTTGAACTGCAGGAATAAATAAGACGGCTTCAGTAAGGCTTATGCGAAATGGACCTGTTACTACAGGGTAACCTACTTCAATTACCTTTCCCTTTGACTACCCAACTCTTTTGCCATACCAAACACAGACACCATTTGATAAAGCAGTGCATATTGAATGGCATGCCCACCAATACAGCCTGTCTGATCTAGCACACCTCAGAAAAAGACTACTCCTTGCTAAACAACATGTTTTTTAAAATTCCGATTGTAATCATTTAAACAGCAAAAGACAGTACTTTCCAACTGACATAACAGGAATGTATGCCTAGTAATTATCAATTATGTATCTGCCCTTGTTCCCAAGCAGATCAGCATGAGATACCTTTTTATTTTCTTAGCCCGGCAAATGTTTCCAAAGTAACACATATTACCAGGAGAGTACAATGGAAAAAGAACTAGACTGGGAACCAGAGTACCTAACTTTTAGTTCTAATCTACCAGAGTTGCTATATGTCAATAACGACATAACCTCTTTGAGCTTTACTATCTTCACGAAGGTATTGTTATCTGTCTTACCTCTTTTAAGGTCTAAATGAAGGCAAATGATACTGCCTTATTTATTTATTTTGGTGGGGGGGGGTTTTGCTATAGGGCACGTGCGCTCGCCAGACAGAGAAGCAGAAAGCGAGAAATCACCCCCCAGGGGGGATGGTCATGCTGCAATCCCTTCTCCTTCATTCTCCTCTTGGGATCTTGGGCACGCATGCACACGTGCCCGGCATGAGTTTAAGCCACTGGGTCCAGGACTCAAACCATGGTCGACTACGTGGGAGTCCAGCAACATAACCATTACGCTAACTGCTGGTCCCTAAATGACACTGCTTTCAGGTTATAAACCATCTACTGGACTCAAAGGTGGTTGGAGGGATCAAGTGGGATACTATGCACAAAAGCACTCCACTTTGTTTGCTGGCTTTCTTTGTATTTTTCCCACAGTAAAGTCCTCCCCCAAAAGTTCAGACTTAATACATCTTAGGACTACAGAACATTGAATGGTAACTTCAAAATTACTTAGCAAGAATACAAACTAAGATCTCTTCTATCTGCCATAGGAGTTCCAATCCCCGTTCTACCAGCTGTAAGACTCTGGACAAACAGTACCAATCACATGGCCCTTGAGTCCCATGTTTGTAGATAACGGATCGGGACCAGGGGATCACCACGGGTCTCCTTTTGCCTTTAGAAACTCTGATGAAACCCAGTTAGTGCTCTTAAGAGTTCCCTAAAGTGCAATCTCCCACACCACCTGTATGACTTTCTCTGATCTGCTTACCACTTGCACTATTGTTTATTTAGTATTTTTCCTAATACCTATTACTCTTACTCAGCCTCATCCTATGTTTCCATTAAATACCAAGTTTGATGTAGTCATTATATTTTTCTAATGTACACTATAATGCATAACTTAAAATAAGAACTGTGTATCCACATACCAACTAAAATCATCTCATCACTTTTAAATCACAAATTCACAACAAAGGTCCCAATACTAAAATGTGGATCAAGTCAAAATGCTAATAAGTAGTCAAAAATCGAAATGAAACACTGAACAAGAAGCCTGAAAGTGTTTACCTATCAGTCCTCATCTATTTTACAAAATAATCACCAAGATAAAGCAATCCTCCAAAAAAAAAACTTCAAACATAAGGGAACTATTGAAAGCCACTGTGAACACTGTTAAAATTGTGACCCCCCCAACACAAAGGCCTAAATGCACAAAGACCCGCTCAGGGGTAGTGAAGGAAAAGACTAAGAGGGCACAGCACTAAGGTCTCCATCCCACTTCACTCAAGACAGCTTCTCCTTTTTCTGCTTCTTATGTTCAGACTTAATACTTCTCAGCACAGGATTCTGATGCTGAACAAAATCACAAGCAGGTAAGATTCATTCTGCTTCCCCTCCCCTTTTTTTTTCATTCTGCTTTTTTATTGTAAAATTCAAAACCAAAATAAAGATAAGATTCCTGTGAAATATGTGCTACAAGTAAGAACTGTTGGACCTAGAAAGGAGAAGTAGCTACTATTCCTATTGACAACCAGCAAATATTCTTGGAAATCAGTCCTCCAAGAAAAATCAAAATAACATAGGGAAGAGGGAACCTTACCTCATGTGCACAAGTAGAAATGTGAGGAAAATCAGAAGCCAACGCTTTATTCTTTCTAAAGAAAAGGAAATCAAATGATAAAAGATGACAAAGAAAAAGGATCTTACCTGATTTCGTTCTCTTTTCCCAGCTGATGGTAACCAGAAACTAAAGAGAGGGAGAGAACAACAGGAAAGAAAACAATAAAAGAAGTGGTAGGAAAATTTTGGAGAGGAAGAGAAGACAAAAGATGCTGGAATAATGAAGTGAAGATAAAGAAGGAAATGGGGAAAAGACACAACTGCAGAAGAAAACGAGAATGATATTAAATGTATGTAAACTTCTTTGCTTAAAGTAACTCTTCAAAAGAGTTGGAAAGCCTCATGATGGAATGTAAGACTGGGCAAGCTAGAAATGAAGCCTAGATTACACTGTGACACCAAGGCACTCTCTGTGCAGTGCTAAGAGGATCCTCACCTCCATGAGGGCATAAACCACACACACACCTTGCCTATTTTGTACATTATTGGAAAAGTGCTTGCACATCAATGTTTATTGTGGCACTTTTCACGATTGCTAATACATGGAACCAACACAAATGCCCTCGTATGGCTGAATGGATTGAAAAACTGTGGCACATACACTCTATGGAATACTATTCAGCCATTAAGAACCACAAAACCCTGGCTTTTTACAGAAAGTGGAAAAATATGGAAGATTTACTGCTGAGTGAAGCAAGCCAGACTATGAAGGAGAGACACTGTATGTCCCCACTTAATATATACCAAATGTCCTCACTCTATAACTGAAACGGACAGGCTAAAGGATGTACAAACACAAGAGATGGATGTGAATGCCAGATGTGGTGTGTGTGGAGGAGTGGGGCCTGGGTAAAAACATTTGGAGGAGGGATACAAAGACAGCATTGCTGAGACAGGGAGGTAGTGTTGTTATATTTTGATCAACTCAACTGGGGAGAAATGTTCACATATTGAAATGATCACCTTGTAAGCTAAATAATGTGATTGAATGTATTAAAAAAATGTAAATAAAGATAAATAAATCAAAAAAAAAAAAAAAAGTCAGACCAGGCTAGATGTGTATAGGATCTTAAGTGGGTACTAGTCATGATGTGTACAGATGCATGAAAGAGCCAACCATGTTAGCGGATGAGGCCGTTTTGAGAAAGGGACATATGGAGTCATGCTTTCTACTGCACTTATCACTATAATTAGGACAAAAAGATTTTTCTCTATAAAGAGGTCTAAATGTAAGAGAATATAGGGGAGCCAGCTTATGGCATGGTGGATAAGGTGGCTGGATCCCACATGGCTGACTGCATAATTCAAGTCCCAGACCCAGCAACTTGAGAAACACTCTGGGCACATATGCTTGTATGCTCAAAATCCCAAAAGGAGAAAGAGATGGAAGAGAAGGGATTGCAAAGTGACCATTCCCCGTGGGGATGCTTTCTCATCTCCCCCTCTGACAAGTGCATGTACCCTCTGGTAAAAGCTAAGAAAAAGGAGAAGGAGGGAACCTTAGGGGAAAGAGAGAGAAAACACAGAATAAAGGCAATTATCCCTAGATTACACTGTGACACCAAGGCACTCTCTGTGCAGTGCTAAGAGGATCCTCACCTCCATGAGGGCATAAACCACACACACACCTTGCCTATTTTGTACATTATTGGAAAAGTGCTTGCACATCAATGTTTATTGTGGCACTTTTCACGATTGCTAATACATGGAACCAACACAAATGCCCTCGTATGGCTGAATGGATTGAAAAACTGTGGCACATACACTCTATGGAATACTATTCCGCCATTCCATTAAGAACCACAAAACCCTGGCTTTTTACAGAAAGTGGAAAAATATGGAAGATTTACTGCTGAGTGAAGCAAGCCAGACTATGAAGGAGAGACACTGTATGTCCCCACTTAATATATACCAAATGTCCTCACTCTATAACTGAAACGGACAGGCTAAAGGATGTACAAACACAAGAGATGGATGTGAATGCCAGATGTGGTGTGTGTGGAGGAGTGGGGCCTGGGTAAAAACATTTGGAGGAGGGATACAAAGACAGCATTGCTGAGACAGGGAGGTAGTGTTGTTATATTTTGATCAACTCAACTGGGGAGAAATGTTCACATATTGAAATGATCACCTTGTAAGCTAAATAATGTGATTGAATGTATTAAAAAAATGTAAATAAAGATAAATAAATCAAAAAAAAAAAAAAAAGTCAGACCAGGCTAGATGTGTATAGGATCTTAAGTGGGTACTAGTCATGATGTGTACAGATGCATGAAAGAGCCAACCATGTTAGCGGATGAGGCCGTTTTGAGAAAGGGACATATGGAGTCATGCTTTCTACTGCACTTATCACTATAATTAGGACAAAAAGATTTTTCTCTATAAAGAGGTCTAAATGTAAGAGAATATAGGGGAGCCAGCTTATGGCATGGTGGATAAGGTGGCTGGATCCCACATGGCTGACTGCATAATTCAAGTCCCAGACCCAGCAACTTGAGAAACACTCTGGGCACATATGCTTGTATGCTCAAAATCCCAAAAGGAGAAAGAGATGGAAGAGAAGGGATTGCAAAGTGACCATTCCCCGTGGGGATGCTTTCTCATCTCCCCCTCTGACAAGTGCATGTACCCTCTGGTAAAAGCTAAGAAAAAGGAGAAGGAGGGAACCTTAGGGGAAAGAGAGAGAAAACACAGAATAAAGGCAATTATCCCTTTTGAACAAAAAAAATTTTAAGACAGAAAAATGAGTGTAAAACATCGCATCTTCATTAGAGGCTATTAATATAGCACCCAGATATAAAAAGCTAAAAAATAAAAAATTGGTCCAAAAAGGAAAAGAAAATCTGCCAGGGGTTTAGGATATTGGCCATGTTAACTATTATAAACTATATAAAAAAAATTAATCTAAAAAGAAATAGAAAATCTCTAGGGTACCAGTAGTTAGCGTAATGGCTATGTCGCTGGACTCCCATGTAGTTGACCACAGTTCGAGTCCCAGATACAATGGCTTAAACTCACACCAGGCGCGTGTGCATGCGTGCCCAAGATCCTGAGAGAATGGAGAAGGGATTGTGGCATGGCCATCCCCCCCGGGGAGTGATTTCTCGCTGTCTCTTTGCCTCTCTCTGTTTTTCTGGTGAGCTCACGCACCCTATAGCAAAAACCTCTCCAAAAAGAAAAAGAAAATTTCTATTAGTGGTTTAAGATGTTGGCTATATTAATACTATAAATTGTAAAAAATAAAAATTAGTCTAAAAAGGAAAAAAAAAATCCATCACAGATTTAGGATGTTGGCCATGTTAACTATTATAAACTACAAATCTTTAAGACCCCCTTTTCAGCTCTGAAACTTGGTTTCTTGGTATGTTAGAGATTCCTTCTGCCTCCTTCTCCAAGGAACGGGCTAGGATAGCTACTCACTACATAAGCACTTACTCTTTCTGCCGAGGGTCGCTAATGATATGGCTTATCCTCTCAGTACTCAAAGTACTTAGGCTGGTCTCCTAAAAAGACAAAGAAAACAAGAGTATCATCCAAACGCAGGGCCAAGTATATAAAGTACAAGCTGTCATCAAGCTCACACTTTCCCATAACTGTGCCAGCCACGGCAACCTCAAAGGCACAGATTGAATGTCAATCTCAAAATCCAACGGCAACTTTATTTCTTTTTATGGGAATCTATGTAAGTATTACATGTTATCCTAGATTTATTTTCCTCTTGTGATCCAAAAAAGTCATTATAAACACTGTTTACTATATAAGGCATTTTAGTATAGTGAGTAATACCTCCTGGAATTACTGAAGTATATAGGAGGAGAAACACATTTAAAAAAAATTCAACAGCCAATTTTTAATATGCCAGAACACCACACTCCCTATAGCCCCAGTAGCTTTTATGCTAGGACATTTACTGAGTTCTCACTGGTAAAACCTAAATATCTACTAATAAACTGCATAAACACATCGAAGAACATTTTGTGACATAAAATGTCATCATGGAGCCAGCAGGTGGCATGGTGGTTCAAGCACTAGACTCCTATATGACTGACCACGGTTTGAGTTCTAGACCCGGCACATGTGTATACATGCCCAAAATCCCAAGAGGAGAAGAGAATAAAAGGGAATGTAGTAAGATTATCCTCCCAGGGGAGTGAGTGATTTCTTTCCCTTTTTCTGTCTCTCTCCAGCAAGCGCACATGCCCTATGGCAAAAAAAAAAAAAAAACCTAAAACCAACAAAGAAACAAAATTATATATTTCATTCCTGAAATATCTCTTAAAGTAAAAATAGAAGCTGATATAAAATGATTTTTTAAAGTTTATTTATGTATTTATTTTATGACAGAGAGGGGGGGAGAGAGAGAGAAACAGAGAGAGGTATCCCCAGTAGGATCTTCATGCCATAATCCACCCCTAGCTCCAACCAGCCATGATCACAGGCACACTCATGCACATCCAGCATCAGGGAGACCACAGGACGTGAACCCAGCACCTTCACATATGGCTTTAGTATCGTGGGGCATTGTTACACTGTGTTACCACAGCTAGCCATAAATTGATTCTTAAATTCAGGGTTCTCCAGATTGGCTTAAACTCACACCAGGCGCGTGTGCGTGCCTGCCCAAGATCCCGAGAGAATGGAGAAGGGATTGTGGCATGGCCATCCCCCCACCCCCCGCCCCGGAGATTGATTTCTCGCTTTCTGTCTCTTTGTCTCTCTCTGTTTTTCTGGTGAGCTCACACACCCTATAGCAAAAACCTCTCCAAAAAGAAAAAGAACATTTCTATCAGTGGTTTAAGATGTTGGCTATATTACTATAAATTATAAAAAATAAAAATTAGTCTAAAAAGGAAAAAAAATATCCATTACAGATTTAGGATGTTGGCCATGTTAACTATTATAGACTATAAATGAAAGCACCACAAGCAATTCAGGAACTAATCATCTCCAAAAAAACTGAAAATGGCACTCACCCTTCATATAACTTGAGAACAATTACAATGAACATTTATCACAGACCTGGGAAAGCATACCAACATGTCTATGAGTAAGTTACATATGTGTGAGTAAGTGTTAAGATGAGAGGACAGAAGTCATAGGCATGACTGTCAAGCCCGTACTGGACACATTTGTTTCTGGGCAAATGTTATTGTCCATATTCATCTATGTGTATAGATGAGCCTAAACATTAGGACACACGTTTTACCAGGATGACTAGCTACAGAAAAATTAATTGGAAATCAGATTCTGGCTGGGAGTGGAGCTAAATGAAAAGATTTCACATACTGTATTCTTTGTATTCTTCATCCCTTATGGCTATGACTCTTGGTCACAGACATAGAAGCGAGCCAAGGGAAAAGATGGGTGAAAAATGAGCTATTTGTTACAGCAGAAAAATTATTAACTTAAAGTGCCGTAATGTTTAAATTTACAGTTTATTACTGTGTAAATTACAAGCAGTACTTTGCGTAATTAGCAGCTCGCTGGCAGGGAACTGTGAATGAAACTCATTATTTATGATTACAATTTAGAAAAAGAGAAGAGAGATGGGGGAGGGGGAAGTAGAGGGGCAGAGCAGTGACCTCTGCTAGAAATGACAAATATCCCTTTAAGGTGATGAAGATGAATTAAACAAGTAAATATTATCCTACTCATTTGAAATCATTAGAGGCATGTCCAATAGGCCCTAATTTCTTTCCAGGCAAGCTAACACGAACCTTCAAGATGAACAGACTTACTTCCATGGAGGTAGAAGGATCTTATTTTTTATAAGAGTTAAAAGAAAGCAAAGTAGGTGGTAGGGAGAACATTATCTGTCAAACTTAACCAATAAAGAGAGAAAGTAAAACCACCTCTCCATTCCCCACTTTCAACTCCTGCCTCTCTGCAATCTATATACCCCTATCCTGCTAGCTGTGCTGTAGGAATAAGCTCCCAGAAGAGCAAAGGTGCATTTTATTGTCTGGAAAATGAGAGATATAAAAAGAACAAGGTATTGAGACCAGCAGTTAGTGTAATGGCTATGTCGCTGGATACACACATAGTCGACCACGGTTTGAGTCCCAGACCCGGTGGATTAAACTCATGCCAGGCACGTGTGCGTGCATGCCAAAGATCCCAAGAGGAAAATGGAGGAGAAGGGATTACGGCATGGCCACCCCCCCTGGGGGTGATTTCTCGCTTTCTATCTCTCTTTCTCTGTCTGGCGAGCGCACACGCCCTATAGCACACACACACACAAAAAACCCTCTCAAAAAACAACAAGGTATTAATCTTTCATTAATCAAGTATATTTCTAATTAGACATCTAAATTGGAATTAAGTGATTTAAAGAAAAAGAATCTGAATTCATCTGGAAATAAATAGCCTGGTTTATTTTGCATGCCTAAACCTTGGGAAAACGGTTCCTTGATTAGACTGTAGAGAAAGCAGTAGCTCCTAAGGATTGCCAGATTATGGCTCTAGCACTATGTACCTGGCTTGCATAAGACGTGTCACACAGTAGGCATTTTCAAGACATTTTAAGTGAACAAATTAAGGCTCTCAAGTGTTTTTGTCTTCCTGACTCTTTCTTTGCACACCACCATCTTCTCTGACAGGGTACAAACTCCCATCTTACCCAATATTTCTATCTGAAAACTACAGTAAAAAATTAATTTAATTTTAAAATAAATGAAAATTCACAAAGATAAAAATGGGGCCGATGGTTGTACGCCAGTGGGTGGCTGGACTCACATGAGAAGGTCCCAGTGCGGTTCCAGGGCCTACTTGTGAATACCACTTGTACATCCCTATGATCAAGGCTAGAGGAGTAAATCATGGGGTACAACATAGCATGAAGATCCTACAGGGGGTACCCACCTTCTCTCTCTGTCTCTGTTTATCTCATGGAAGAAATAAATAGGTAAACTTACAAACACAGGTAAGACTAGACTTGGATTCAAATCTCTATTCTATCACTTTTATCTGGGAAACATCAAACGTTAACTTTGAAGCCAAGTGCTCATCACTAAAAGGGAGCATCACCTTTTTTCCAAGGTTATTAGGAGTTTTAAATGAATGGAGTGCCTAGCAAAGGAGACGTGAATAAACAGTAGCTCTCGAAATTCAGTAATAGGCATGCTTTTTCAGGTTTTTTCTTTTTTTAGGGAATTCTAGGGTGAAAGACCAAAGTTGGGCTAGAATAAAGATGTATTCATGAATTCAGGAGGAGTCAAAAAGAAGCCAAGAGTATTTTAACTTATCCAATAATATAAGATTAAGAGTGCAGAAGAGAGCGATCTGGCCTGTACATCTACAGGCAACAGACACTATAATGACAGTGTTTGCTTTGTCAGACTTCTGTGTGAATTCAGTGTCAGCTCCTCTGTGTGTTTCCTTCCATATTACATAATGTTCACTCTTGCACAATCCTCTAACATTCCAGTTGGCCTCATTAACTCCAGGGAGTTGTATGGCACTTCTGATTGTCACCGGGGTACACAAACCCCACATGGGGGAACCAGCAGTTAGCGTAATGGGTATGTCGCTGGATTCCCACATAGTCAACCACAGTTCACGTCCCGGACCTGGTGGCTTAGAACTCACACCGGGCATGTGTGCATGCATGCCCAAGATCTCGAGAGGAGAATGGAGGAGAAGGACTTGCAGCGTGACCATCCCCGCTGGGGGGTGATTTCTCACTTCCTGTCTGTCTCTCTCTGCCTGGCGAGCGCACGCGCTCTATAGCGAAAACCTCTCAAAAAAAAAATAAAATAAAATAAAAACCCACGTGGGATTACTATCTTCCCTTGGAGCCTAGTAAATCTGGAAACTATCACCTTCCCAACCAGCCTTCTTCGCCCCTTCCTGAGGCATCGAGCTGCAGCTCCAGGCAAGCGATTCAAGCGAGCATGGTACCCTAAAATCAGAAAGAAAGACCCCAGTTACTGAATGCAAAAAATCCATACGCAACCACGTTTCTAGTATGCTGAAGGCCTTACTCTAGGAAGACTCTGGGCATCTTCCTAGACTGACCCTTAAACCAATATCACAAGGCTACTTGCCAAGGGTTTATTATATGCAGATCTTCATCACTAGCACTATGTTCTTAAGCATGCCATTTACCTAGAGGATGAGGACCTAGACATCCTCACCTATAGGAGAGGGCTAACCACTCTCTCGGTCTTACCTTACAGGTCTATTTTGTAAACACAACAACACAGGAAGTAAAAGATACTTTATAAATGAAAAGCCATACACAAATATAAGGTATTATTAACAAGGGAGCTTCTATTTTTAAATTAAATGCTAGTTACTATCTTAAAAACATTCTAATTCATGAAATAACTGTGAAAATAGCATGCATTTTCTAACTCCATCTTTCTATTGTTGTATGTGTTCTACATATATTGATAGAAAGAAGAACTGGATGGGCCAGCAGAGATTGGGACAGCTGGATCCCACTTGGCCAACCGTGCAGTTGGGAGTCCCAGAACTGGTAGTGTGAAAAATAAGCCAGGTGCAAGTGCATGTGTGCCCAAGATTCCGGGAGGACAGGGGACTGTGGCATGGTTGTCCTCCCTGTGGGGTGACTTTTCACTCCCTCTCTCTTTCTCTGTCTTTCTAGCAAATGCACATGCCCTATAGCAAAACTGAAAAAAAAATGAAACAAAACTAGAAGAATCCACACCAGAATGGTATCAATGACAGTGTGTGTGGATGTGGGATTACAGCCATTTAAGGTTTCTTCTTTCTTCTTTCACTTGTGCATATTTTAATTGTCCATAAAGAACTTTTAGAAATGTTTATTGAAACATTCAAGGAAACAATGTGCCTCAGCCATGCAGTTGTCTTTACCAAGAACCAACTGCTTTAGGAAGGCCTTTTACATGACCAAATTCATCAGAACAAAGCCTTACGTAGTAAGAGTTTACAGTTCTCAGTGTAATTCTGATCACCAGCAGAACCTCAACAAATACTTAGTAACATAATAATGGATTATTGGTTACTGGGGAGTGTAGGATCATAAACCTATAGAACTAAAAGTTCTGAAGCAATTTTATTCAATGTTACATATCTTAAGGGATAACCCTGACACCCCAAGAAAGTAACTGTCCCAGTCACAGAGCTAGGTGGACAGTACCAGAGTAGTATTAGCATAATACTTCCTTCTCCCTAGACTCTTTCCACTCCGCTCTGCTATATCATAACTGAAAGGAAAGCAAAGAGAAAGGATAGATACCACCCACGTCAGAATCTACAATAGCAGAATCATTCAAATAACTTAATTATTTTTGAATCATCCATTTTAAAAAATGCCATTATGCCTTGTATGTGAATGTCTTTACTGAAATCTGTTCTCTTCCAAGATACAATGCTTCAGGCTCCCATTAAGCACTCAACAATCTATCAATTTCGCATTGGGTAAGTCGCTGTGACATGATGCCAAGGCTTCCTAAATCTTGCACAAGCAACAATGGCAAGCCAAAGGAATGTCCTGCCAAAATATATGCCAGGCGTCTCCACAAATTGATTTAGGTAGAATGAAGAAAACCTCAAGCTTTAAGACTCACCCTTGAATCCCCTAGAAAATCCCTAAACTAGCTCTAAAACTAAGATAGTTAATGCATGCTTAAAGGCATGAGTACATGTGCATTGGGTGACTCTTCTTCCCAAGAGAACCATAAAAGCATGAAGTTCTTGGTCTCCTCACCACTCACCTCTTTGACCTGGCCGAGAAGGTAAAAGGAATGTGGAATCTGAAAGTTTATCCAGTCCAGAATCCATTCTTTCTACTTCAGAGCAATGCTCAGGAGCCCACTTGGGCAGAAGATTAGGGACAGTGAATCCTGGGACACATTCTCCTTCATAGAACCAATCACTCTGCTCATCATCTCCTAAAGCAAAGAGATCATGTCATAAGCTAGAATTTTAAGAAAAATCAAATGGGAGGATGAGTTCTTAGTGCTGTAGTTTTTATTACACTTTTAAATAAATCAAAGCGCAACTTATTCTGGTCCTTCTTGATCCAGTATATGATAAAAACTAGGACACCAAGCTAGCACATAGCACAACAATTAAGCCTTGTGCACAGGGACCTAGATCTTATACATCTGACCAAGTTTCAAATCCTGGCTCCAGGAGTTTGAAGAACATGCCGCTGTATCTGTGTGCCTCTCCCAAACCTCAACAACATGGAGAAATGGAAGAAAAAGGAATGCACGATGACTACACTCCACTGGGAGGAGGGGAGTCTCTATATATTCCACCCTCCCTCTCTCTTTGGCAAGCACATACACCTACTGGCAAAAATAAAAATAAACAAAAACAAAAACTGCCCTCTCCATATCATCCTTAGTGGTACTAATATAAGTAAACTTGGGGGGATTCAAAGCCCTTAAATGTTTCAGAATTTAAAACTAGCTGTTCCTGAGGGATTTCTTACCAGATGAGGATTTCTCATATTAAGCGGATAACAAACGTATGCCCATAGCTTTTTTTACCTTGGCATCTCATTAACAGAGCAGAAAATCATCTCAACACTAGCAATCCAAACTACTGAGAAAAAACTAACCACAAAAACAATACAATTCTTGGGAACCAGCAGTTAGCGTAATGGCTATGTCGCTGGACTCCCATGTAGTCAACCGCAGTTCGTGTCCCGGACCCGGTGGCTTAAAACTCACGCCGAGTGCGTGTGTGTGTGTGCGTGCCCAAGATCCCGAGAGGAGAATGGAGGAGAAGGGATTGCGGCGTGGCCATCCCCCGGGGGGGTGATTTCTCGCTTTCTGTCTCTCTGTTTCTCTCTGTCTGTTTGGCGAGCGCACGCGCTCTATAGCGAAAACCTCTCCAAAACAAAACAAAACAAAAAAACAAACAATACAATTCTGTAAGGCTTCTGAAGAAGTTATCCTATTGGGTCCTCAGAAAAGTGATGATGTATTTTTCCATGCAAAAATGAGTCATGACTTTTCCAATGGCCCAATTATTTGCCAAAGGCCATGTTGTCTGTTAATGACAAAGTCACAGCTGATCCATATACCCAGACTCATGGTTCAAATTTCTTTCTATTGGCTACAATGATAGCATATGAGTGTCTACTACAGTTTATTTCCGCCCACAAATAATAAGACAGACAAATTCATGTCTGCCACACATCCCCCTTCAAAGTAGCAAAGACAAAGGAAATTATGACAAGAACGTCTCAGTTCATAATGCATTCATACTCTAGTGTACACTGGATCCCAGAGAAGCTGCTCTGGACATGCCAAGGACATGAAGCCACTAATATCTGGGATGTGAACTCTCAGATCACTGTGGAGATTGCCCTCTAGTAGGGCAATGAGAGTTGCATTCTGTTGAAGAGCAGCGGATATCACCACTAAGGAAGTTACTCCGTGGTCCCTTATAAAGGCGACCTCACACAGCTCTCTTTCTGAAAAATAGCAGTTACCATCCTTAAGAATGCTTCAGAAGCACCAGGAGGACTTGTCAGAACACAGACTATGGGACCAGCAGATGGGGTAATGGTTCCATCGCTGGACTCCTACACAGTCAATCACAGTTCGAGTCCCAGACCTGGTGACTTTAAACTTAACGCCAGGTGCAGAAGGGACTGTGGCATGACCATCCCCTCAGGGGGTGGTTTCTTCCTTTCTCTCTCTCTGCCAATCACACGTGCCCCATAGAAAAAATATCTCTCAAAAAAAAGAACACAGACTGCTAGACCCCACCCTTAAAATTTCTGATTCTGGGACCAGCAGATGGCGTAATGTTTATGTTGCTAGACTCCAGAGTCAACTACGGTTCAAGTCCTGGACCTGCTGGCTTTAAACTCATGCTGGGTGTGTGTGCATGCGTGTCCAAAATTCGGAGAGAAAAACGGAGGAGAAGGGATTGCAGCATGGCCATCCTCCTTAGGGGTGACTTCTCTCTCTGGTGAGCACATATGCCCTACAGTAAAAATCTCTCAAAAAAAAAAAGAAAGAAAGAAAGAAAGAAAGAAAGAAAGAAAGAAAGAAAGAAAGAAAGAAAGAAAGAAAGAAAGAAAGAAAGAAAGAAAGAAAGAAATCCTGATTCTGGTATGAACAGGACCAAAAATTTGCATTCCTAACAAGTTCCCTAATGATGCTAAGCTGGGGTAGGGACCACAGTTTGAGAACTACAACTCTAAAAGCTTCTCATCAAACCAGTACATTGATGAATTAAAGATAGGCATTACTGTACAATGATGTTTCTCTGTACTTCAATACAGTTATTCCTTTCTTATCTATAAGCATTCCTTAGGCCATTTATTTAAACAGTATATTTAATTAGATCATGTTGTCTGATGACAAATGACAGACTATAGAGGAATTCTTTTGGTTCTTAAGCATTCACTCAAGAGTTTTAATAATACAAAAAGGGAGAGCCAGTTCACAGCCTGGCAGTTAGGGTGGCTGGATCCCACATGGTCAACTGCACTGTTGAAGTCCTGGGCCTGGTGGCTTGAGAAACATACCAGGCACATATGCACACATCCAAAAATCCTGAAAGAAGGGAGAGATGGAGGAGAAGGAACTGAAGCACTGGGGGGTGGGGAGGGTGTTTTCATTTTCCCTCTTTCTCTCTCTCTCTCTCTCTCTCTTTCTCTTTCTCTCTCTCTCTCTCTCTCCAGTAAGCACACATGCTCCTGGCAAATTAGAAATAATAATAATGATGATAATAACAATCAAAAAGGGATGCACTGAACTGGAAGGAACCTTGAGCTCAACCAGACCAGCAGTCTTCAGCCTAAGCTCATCAGAATGCCTGATGCAAGAGCTTCCTAAAGATCACTGCCAGAGAACAAGCAGGTGAGTGGATGAGGCCCCTGAGCTCCGGCTCTTCTAGAACCTTGCTTTAACCAAAATAAACTTATTTGTTTTATCATTTGAGATTCTTCACACAATTCTGTTTAGGAAAGAAAAAGGAGAGTCTGTTTATCTAGGCTTCTCAAAAACTATTTATTAGGACTTTGCTATATGCTCAGCAAGGTGTTTTTTGGTTGCAAATGTGTTTTTGGTGTTGTGGTTACAAATAATGAAATAATTACTGTCTATGAAAAGCTTCAATGGAAAGAGACAATTAGCTACAAACAATAATGTAATATAGTAAGGGATAAAAAGAGCAGTAAGAGCACCAAGAAAGTAAGGGCTGTCAGTCCGAATCTGTCAGGAACATACACACAGTGCACTTAAATGGGATCACCGAGGAGACTTCAACAAAGTAAACTGTTTACAGATATAGACAATATCAGCAAGGAAACCAACAAAGGATGGTTATATGTCAGCCTTACCATTCCTAGCCCGAGAACAGCAAGAGAAAAAATGACATTAGGCCCAGAGAGAGAACAGTGGTTACAGGTCAAGGTTGCCAAACAGGAGTGGTGGCTTTCAGCAGCAGTCGCAACCACTGCCATCCAGCAAGCCAACAGAAGGGGAGCCAGGGAAGGCTATGATGTGATGTGGCAGGCTGCATTACCAATCCCAAGTTCTCACTATCTCCCTATTATACAACGGTCCAATTATACTTTCTGTCCTTTGCCACTAGATTCCATGGTGCCTCCCCATTCAGGGACAGCATGCTTCCTCACCCAATTGACATTGAGCTTGGTCTATGACTGGTTTTAGGTGGTAGGACATTAGCAGATATGATCCAGACAAAGGCTTTACTCAAAGGCTTGGTCACCTGGTATTTATGTCCTCTGCCATAAGTTCATGCCACAAAAAGTCATTGCTCTTTAAGCCAAGATCCCAAAATAAGACACCGCGCATAGGTATAAACTCAAGTTGATGCCTAGAGACCAGCTGAGCCTAGGTAATACCATGTGAACCACAGGCATATCAACATCCTATAGCAAGAAACAAACATGGTAAATTGCAGTAAACTTTTGTGAAATTTTGGAGCTGACAAACAGCATTATCACAATAAAAACTTGACTAATACACCCAAACTCACTCACCTTCCTCCCTCCACTCTTATGATGTCTTCTATTAGCCAAATGAAATAAGAAACTGAGGGCAAGAAAACCCACGATGTAGTCCATGAATATAACCTCGTGGGGCAAAAGGAGGACTGTATCATTCAAGAGGGGTAAGGATGAGATTTCAGAGACCAGCATAAACAGAGGATAAAGGAACAGAAAATAACACAGCTTAAACTCTAAGTAGCTAAATATCACCAACATATGTGAAATTAAGGCAGAAAAAGACAAGATAGCTAGGGCTACAAAATATTTTTTTTCACGACAAACTAAGAAATTCTTCTTAGTGGGGAGACTTTCCAAAGACCTAAAAACTTAATCTGCCATGATATGTCCACATTTTCTTATATCTTTGTACAATTATACATCATAACCCCTAAGAGATACATTATAACACTTCACAGCACTGTTATAAAAGCAAAGAAAAAAAGAAATATTAGTAACTCTGAACGGAAAGTACCAGCTCATTCCTGGAAAGACAGATTTTCTTGGCTAAGATAACAGAATCAAGACTCTAACTAAAGTCAGCCTATGCATACACATATATGAATTTCTAATGACAGCTCATTCCCTCAAAATCAGAAAGATAAAAATATACTTTTAATACTTTTAATAACCTCCATTAGATAAGGAAGTTCAACAACTCCATGGAAATGAAACTGTCTCTCCGTATCTACAACTCTGAAAAATAAATGAGACACCCTCTTCACAGTCCCCAGTCAACAGCAGGACCTGCATGCTGAGTCTCAGAGTCCTGGGATCCCTGCAGTGTCTGGGAAGCCTACCCAGATCAGCCTAGACACGTGGCCACTGTGCCTCTATCCTTTAATCATGGAACGCTCGGAGACAAATTATTTGATTCCAGAACTAGAAGAGATTTCTACACCTACAAAATCCCTTGTTTAGATTGTAAAAACTACAGTGTAAAAAAGGCTATGTGAAATTCATATTGGTAAACAAGTAGTATGGCTCTCAGCAAGTTTAAAGGGCAAGAATTTCGTAAAGTACTATTACAACAAGAAAATGTTTTAAATATTATTTAGGTAGTAAAAGTAAGAAACTGGTAATTAATATACACCAACCTTATACACAGTACTGTACACTAAATTTCACTGAGTTTTAACTTAAAGTGTTTTACATAATACAATCACATGCTGTGTAATGACATTTTGGACAATAATGAAATACATACAAAAAGGGGACCAGCAGGTGGCATGGTGGTTAAGGCGCTAGACAATCCCACATGGTCAACCACGATTCAAGTCCCAGACCTGGTGGCTTGCTTTCTCATTTTTCTCTCTCCCTCTCTGTCTCTCTCTCTGTTCAAATTAAAATAAATTAATGAATTAATAAAATTTTTTTAAAAAGAAATACATACAAAAAAGTGGTCCCTGGGGCTGGCTGGTGGTGTGGTGGTTAAGGGTGCTGTACTCCCCATGGCTTGAGTCCTTTGCCTGGCAGCTTACTGGGGGGCTTTTGCTTTCTCGCTTTCTCTCTCTCTCGCTCTCACTCTCTCTCTCTCACTCGTTCTCTCACTCTCTATTCCTCTCTGGTCAAATTAAAATAAATCAACAAGTCAATAAAGTTCAATAAAAAATATGGTTACATCATTGGACTCCCATGTAGTTGATCGTGGTTCCAGTTCCAGACCAGGCAGCTTAAAACTCACAGTGGGTGTGTGTGCATATACGCCAAAAGTCCCAGAAGAATAGAGGAGGAGAAGGGATTGCGGTATGTCCATTCCCTCTTGGGGGTGATTTCTTGCTTTCTGTCTCTCTGTCTCTCTGGTGAGTGCACACACCCTATAACAAAAATTGCTTAAAAAAAATTATAATGGGGCTGAAAAATCCCTTCCACCTAGTGATGCTGTAGCTGTCATATCAATGCACTACTCGTGTTTATGGTAATGGTGGTATAAACAAATCTACTCTGCTACCAGTCCCATAAAAATGTGAGACATACAATTATGTACAGTACATGATAGCTGATGCCATGATAATAAACAAGCATGTTACTGATTTACAAATTATTATACTATACTTTTCATCGTTAGCATGTCCTCCTTTTTAGTTTACTGTAAAACAGTATGCTGTGTTCTGCCTGCAGCAATCTTATACATCCCATGTCTACCTCGTCTCTCCACTGCATCACTTCCTCTTATGTTTGACTTAATTTCCTATTATTTAGTTTATCTTGGTTCCTCCAGTAAGACAAGAAATGAAGGTAGAAGACAGAATATTGATGACCCTCACTGGGTAGGTCTAATCTAATGTCTGTATCTTAGTTTATACCAAAAAATAGTTTAAAAAGAAAAAGAAATTTTTCATAGATAAAAGCTTACAGAATAAGAATATTAAAAAAATATTTTATAAAATCTAAAGAAAAGAACATTTTTGCACCGGTGTGGAATGTGTATAAGCTAAGTGTTATTATGAAGGAATCAGAAAGTTGAAAAAATTTGTTTATAAAGTAAAAAAAAGTTATAATAAGCTAAGGTTTACTTATTATTGAAGAAAAAAAAATTTAATTTAGTGTAGCGTAAGTGTACAACCAACTAAGTTTATAAAGTCAACAAGAGTGCATAATAATATCCTAGGTCTGTACAGTCACTCACCATTAACTCACTGATTCACCGAAACAACTTCCAATCCTGCAAGCTTCATTCATGGTATGTGCCCTATTTAGCTTTAACACTTTTCATCTTTTATATCATATTTTTATTGCACCTTTTCTATATGCATATATGTTTAGATACATAAATCCTTACCATTACATTACAACTGCTTCTACCATTTGGCACAGTAACATGCTATAGGTTTATAGCAGAGGAGCAATTGGCTGTACCATACAACCTAAGTGTGTATGGCTATACCATCTAGGTTTGAGTATGATGTTCTCACAACAGCAAACATGCAATGCATTTCTCAGGTGGCATGGTGGTTAAGGACACTGAACTCCCACATGCCTGACAGCAGTTTCAGTCCTGGACCTAGTGCCTTGCTTTTCCTCACTTTCCCCCACTCTGTCTCACTTTGGCTCTCACTCTGTTCCTCTCTGGTCAAATTAAAGTAAGTAAATAAATTAAGTTAAATAAAATAATTCTTTATATATATATATATATATACACACACACACACACACACACACACACATCACCCCATTTTTAAGCAACATGTTTGTATTCACCTAGAATACTATGATCATTTATAAATAAGATTATAAAAATAACTAAATCTTCCCTATATAAAATGACTATCTTAACAACAAATAAAAAACCTGATTTTAAAAAAGAACTTCCCTGAGTCCCTCACTCCACATTCTAACGTCCTGGACCAATGATTCTCAAAATCTGAACTATCTATGTAAGAATCACTTCAGGTGCTTGTGAAAAACGCAGGTTCCAGGGACCAACTATAGACCTATTTTATTTTTAAGAATTCAGGAATTATTAGAATTTGTTGTTGGGAAGACATTTGGGGATGTTGCAAAATAGAAAATATTTCAGATTTTTGATGGAGGAATGTATATTGGATTTTGTAAGACAGTTCTTTCTATAGCTAATAAAAGGAGTATGCTTTAACAGTTCCCCAGGTAGCTCTTACTTGCCCTGAATTCTGAGAACCACTGGCATAGACAACCATCATATTTTCAATGCGTCACTCTATAATCAGAATCTTCCCATAAACATGGAACCAATGTTTCAAAGCTGAGGTCAAGATTACCTTGCCGTCCTTCATCATTGGTAAAGAGCCCAGTGTCACTGCTGCTACACACACTGCTGGTTTCACTGAAAAAAAAAAAAAAAAGAAAGAAAGAAAGAAAGAGAAAATTCATTAGCTCCAATCAAAAAGAAAGCACTGGATATTGGAAGATCTCATGCTTCCTTAATTTTACTCTGTCCCATTAACTAATCGTATATGCAAATTACATAGAGAAGCTGCAGAGAAAGTTTATTCCCCCCCCCCAAACAAAAGAACTACAAGATGTGAACAGTAGGTGGCGTGGTGGTTAGGGTATTGGGACGCTCCCACATGACCGACCATGGTTTGAGTCCTGGACCTGGTGGCTTGCTTTCTCACTCCTCCACACCCCTCTATATATCTCTCTAGTTAAATTTTTTTTTAAATATCAATTAATTAAATTAAATAATTTTTTAAAAAAAAGAAATACAAGAAAAGGAGAATTTATTTTTACTTACATTTTAAAGTACTTTTGAATATCTAAATCTCTTTTTGTTTTAGGATTAGTAAATTATTTATTAGTTTACAAAAGTAATCTCAATCTGGTTTGGTATATTAAACAACAGAAATTTATAAATCTATCAATTTGATTTTTAAATATTACCAACTACCAGTTTCAAATGACACTATCCAACTTTAAGACACCTAGCATCTTTCAAGTTTTAACCCTATTTACAAAGCAGCAAACAAATCTGCAACAGAAAAAGAAACATCAATACAGCAAAGTTGTATTTTCTAAATTTATTGTCTTCCTTCTCATCAAGCAGATACGTAAAACTCATTTTGAAAGAAGGAGCTAAGGCTAAAATTAAAAATATAAAAACTCCATCTAAACCATTGAAATAAAAGCTTTTATCCCATAGAATTCTGTCAGTCAACTTCCTGTTCTGAGAGATCGCTCACGATTGATTCTGCTGCTTCTGATGCTGTTTCTTTCTACCTTGTCTTCATCAAATCTATCTGATTCAGGAAAAACTTCTCAATCCTTTATGATATTAGCCATTTCCTTGATAGGGAGTATTTCCTCCCAGTTAGTCCATTTTTTTATATGCTCCAGAAAATGGAAGAAACCAAATTAAGAAAGAAGCCTTTTCACCAGAAGCTGCAGAAAGAACTGGCTTGGCAAAATCCGATCTACATTCCTGGATCAAACATCTCAAAAATATTTTGTATTTTGCAACATCTCCAGGTATCTTCCCAATGACAGATCCTAAAAATGCTTGTTAAGTGGCAATGGGATCCTCGCTTAAGTTTGTCTCTGAATAAGAGATACAAGAGATCTGTCACAGGAAGGGCCAATACAACATGTCTGATTTCCTCACAGGTTCTCTCTTTTTATTATTTTCTCTACTTGTAAGTAGGAACATCCTCAGGGGCCACTGTAAGAAATATTTCACAAAACTATGCCATTGGATTCTGTTGGATTTACATCTTCAAAGAGCTCGGCAGTTAAATTCAGAAGACATCTTCATTGAGTACTGTATTCTTTCTGCTTCTGAATTTAGGGAACCATGTCTGTTAACCTTAAGGGTGTTGATTTTATATTTATAGCAATTTCCAAGAACATTACGGTCTAATTCGATTGAGTCTTACGGCACAGTTTCTCTATTACTACTACTTCATTGCACTACTTTATGCTACTTTATTATTCATATCTTGCCTGGAGGATAAGGCAAATTTTATATTTTTTCATTTCTCTTGATACAAAGGAGTTACCAAGCACATTAAGCCATGGGCCAGATTCTACTCTACCATCACTTCATATTCTTTACTGGAAGAATTACTACTGAGATTAAGGGTCAGCAAACAATGGATGATCACCAGTTAAGAAATACAAGAAAAGGAGAATTTATTTTTACTTACATTTTAAAGTACTTTTGAATATCTAAATCTCTTTTTGTTTTAGGATTAGTAAATTATTTATTAGTTTACAAAAGTAATCTCAATCTGGTTTGGTATATTAAACAACAGAAATTTATAAATCTATCAATTTGATTTTTAAATATTACCAACTACCAGTTTCAAATGACACTATCCAACTTTAAGACACCTAGCATCTTTCAAGTTTTAACCCTATTTACAAAGCAGCAAACAAATCTGCAACAGAAAAAGAAACATCAATACAGCAAAGTTGTATTTTCTAAATTTATTGTCTTCCTTCTCATCAAGCAGATACGTAAAACTCATTTTGAAAGAAGGAGCTAAGGCTAAAATTAAAAATATAAAAACTCCATCTAAACCATTGAAATAAAAGCTTTTATCCCATAGAATTCTGTCAGTCAACTTCCTGTTCTGAGAGATCGCTCACGATTGATTCTGCTGCTTCTGATGCTGTTTCTTTCTACCTTGTCTTCATCAAATCTATCTGATTCAGGAAAAACTTCTCAATCCTTTATGATATTAGCCATTTCCTTGATAGGGAGTATTTCCTCCCAGTTAGTCCATTTTTTTATATGCTCCAGAAAATGGAAGAAACCAAATTAAGAAAGAAGCCTTTTCACCAGAAGCTGCAGAAAGAACTGGCTTGGCAAAATCCGATCTACATTCCTGGATCAAACATCTCAAAAATATTTTGTATTTTGCAACATCTCCAGGTATCTTCCCAATGACAGATCCTAAAAATGCTTGTTAAGTGGCAATGGGATCCTCGCTTAAGTTTGTCTCTGAATAAGAGATACAAGAGATCTGTCACAGGAAGGGCCAATACAACATGTCTGATTTCCTCACAGGTTCTCTCTTTTTATTATTTTCTCTACTTGTAAGTAGGAACATCCTCAGGGGCCACTGTAAGAAATATTTCACAAAACTATGCCATTGGATTCTGTTGGATTTACATCTTCAAAGAGCTCGGCAGTTAAATTCAGAAGACATCTTCATTGAGTACTGTATTCTTTCTGCTTCTGAATTTAGGGAACCATGTCTGTTAACCTTAAGGGTGTTGATTTTATATTTATAGCAATTTCCAAGAACATTACGGTCTAATTCGATTGAGTCTTACGGCACAGTTTCTCTATTACTACTACTTCATTGCACTACTTTATGCTACTTTATTATTCATATCTTGCCTGGAGGATAAGGCAAATTTTATATTTTTTCATTTCTCTTGATACAAAGGAGTTACCAAGCACATTAAGCCATGGGCCAGATTCTACTCTACCATCACTTCATATTCTTTACTGGAAGAATTACTACTGAGATTAAGGGTCAGCAAACAATGGATGATCACCAGTTTTGGTATGACCCATGAACTAAGAATGATTTTTCCAGTTTTTTATAGGGGGTGGGGTAAAATCAAAAGACGAATACTTTATGACACATGGAGAAGATAGGACATTTAAGTTTCAGTGTACAAAAATAAAGTTTTATTGGAACACAGCCATGTTCATTGATTCCATATCCTCCCTGGTTCTCTATGGCTACAACTGCAAAACTAAGGAGTTGCCCTGAAGATTTACTGTCTAGCTCTTTACGGAGTAAGTTTGCTGATGCCTGTCTATATTATTAAACGTTTTACTCTACAAGGTCTATGGTCCTTTCTGTTGGAGCATTTCCAATTAAATTTTAAACAGCTGGTTTTTACACAAAGTCTATCAATCCTTTCCCTGTTCATTTCCAGCCACCAGGAAACATTACAAGACACAGTACTTCCTTGATGCTTTTCTATGTGGCTTCTATTCACGCCTCATATTCTAAATAAAAGGGACAAGCTCGAAGAATAGCTGCTGGATCAAGACAGGTGTTGGTAATCTGTCACTGCACATTTTCTGTTGTTGTCAACAGAATTTCAGGAGAATCAGTGTTCTTTATGAACTTGTCTAAGAGTCTCCTACATACAGTTAACTGGAGTAATAGCAATGATGTCATAGAAATATCACCAGTATTTGAGGGCCAGTCAACGGTGCAGCAGTAATGCAACGTTCTGCAAGTTCATATCTGAAGATCTCCCTGAACATGCCAGGTACACATATGCCCATGGTCTGGGGCTGGTTCAATGGGGGCAGACTGTAGTAGGACCCTTTTGAGGGTATCTGTCTCCCTTGATTATGAGAGAGAGAATAAACTTGGGAGAGAAGGGAGGGGAAGGAGAAGCTGGCAGTAGGCTGCAGTGTAAGGACCCTGTCATTTCAGAAGCTGCTAGAACTCTGGGAGTCAAGTGGTCCAGCTCGATCAGCCCAGGAATACAGGTAGAATACACATGATAGGGGTAAGAGGGTAAAATCTGGTAGCTGCTCTGCCCCTTCCTTTCTCACAGTATGAACTCAGTACTATATAGAGACAGTTCTATATATGGGTATATAGATATAGGAATATATATATACATATATATGTATTGAATGCTTATCAGTGAAAACTTAGAAATATATGTGTGTGTGTGTGTGTGTGTGTGTGTGTATTGAATACTTAGTAATAAAAAGGATAAGAAAGTAACCAGTTCTATTATTGGAAGAGAAGGGAAGGGAAAGGAAGAAGTATTGCCCAAAGTTTAAGACTACACTCAAGGGGGAACCAGCAGTTAGCGTAATGGCTATGTCGCTGGACTCCCACGTAGGTGACCGCGGTTCGCGTCCCGGACCCGGTGGCTTAAAACTCACGCCAGGCGCTTTTCTCCATGTAAAACAAACAAATAAACAAAAAGTCTTGAGAATACTTACTACATAAAAGTGTCATCATTCTACCAGTATATGAAAATGAATATATCATCTGATGGCATTTGCTAACTTTACTTCTTTGTTAAAAATGACTTGCATTTGGGACCAGCAGTTAGTGTAATGGCTATGTCGCTGGACTCCCACGTAGTTGACCGCGGTTCGAGTCCCGGACCCGGTGGCTTAAACTCACGCTGGGCGCGTGTGCGTGCATGCCTAAGATCCCGAGAGGAGAATGGAGGAGAAGGGACTGCGGCATGGCCTCCCCCCCCGGGGGGTGATTTCTTGCTTTCTGTCTCTCTGTCTCTGTCTGTCTCTGTCTGTCTGGCGAGCGCACGCGCCCTATAGCAAAAACCTCTCAAAAAAAAATAAATAAATAATGAATAAAAAATTTAAAATTTTTTAAAAAAATGACTTGCATTTGAGACCAGTAGATGGCATAATGGTTACGTCGCTGGACTCCCATGTGGTCAACCATGGTTCAAGTCCCAGATCCAGTAGCTTAAAACTCACACCAGGTGTGTGTGCGTGCATGTTCAAGATACCAAGGAAAATGAAGAAGAAAGGATTGTGGCATGGCCATTCCCCCCCGGGGGATAATTTCTTGCTTTCAGTCTCTATCTCTCCAGTGAGAGCACGTACCCAATAGCAAAAATCTCTCTCTAAAAAAAAAAAAATAAATAGTTTGCATTATGGAAATGCAAAAAATGATTAGCACAATTTGGTGAGGAAGGAAAAAGTAGGAGCTTCATAGCATGCTTATATATAAACACTATCATAATAGTTTGCAAAAATGTAGTGCCACTTATAAAATAGAAGCAAATATTTTTTCCTTCCAACTTATAAGCCAAAGTTTTTCAGTCCTATAGCCCTCAATCACTTCTGGCTCAGAGAAACTGGGGGCCAGCAGATGGCATGTTGGGTAAGATGTGGGACTCCCACACACTTGACCACAGTTCAAGTCCTGGACCTTGTGACTTGCTTTCTCTTTTCCACTTTCTCTCTCTTTCACGTGAACACACGTGTCCTCCTATAGCAAATTTTTTAAACAATAATAATATGAAATCAATAATCCTTTTTTAAAAAGAGAGAAATTAGATCAGTAGGAATTTAGTGATAACTTGGTCAATTATAAAATATTAATTTAGCTAGTTCAACTTAATATTCTGTTAAAAATGAGCTTCTATATTTCAACAGCAATTTTTTCCTACCCTCTCTATAGATTATAAATCTAAAAGTTAAGAGATGTCAGGCTCCTGTATGTATTTTTCTGCTCCAAAACTCTGAAATTTGTTTATAACTTTTTTGGTGAGCCTTTTCAGTAGGCAAAGAAAAAAAGCGCCTTTCCTCTTTTTTTTTTTTTTAATTTAAATTTACTATAGGGTGTGTGCATTCTCTGGGAGACAGAGAAAAAGAAAAAGAAGGAAAATGAGAAAAACATGCACGTGGCATGTTTTTCAAGCTGCAATGTCTGGGACTCAAACTGTGCAGTTGACAGTGTGGGATCCAACTGCCCTAACCACCATGCCACCAGCTGGCAGCTGGCTCCCACTTTTTTTTTTTTTTTTTTTTTTTTTTTTTTGAGAGACAAGATTTTGGCCATAGGGTGCATTTGCTTACTGGAGAAAGAGAGACAGAGAGACAAAAAGTGAGAAATCACCCCCCAGGGGGAATGGCCAGGCCACAGTTCCTTCTCTTTATTCTCTCGGTATTTGGGGCATACACACACATGCACCTGGTGTGAGTTTCAAGCCACCAAGTCCAGGGTTTGAACCATGGTGAGTCAATGCGGGCATCCAGAACCCTAACCACTAGACCACCTACTGGCTCTCATTTTCATTTTTATAAGAAAAAAATGTAGGCCACCCCATAACACAATGGTTAGGCACTATGCATGCGTGTCAGATCCCACATGGCTGACTCAGTTTAAGTACCAGCGCCAGCAGCTTGAAGTACATGCTGGGCACAAGCGCATGTGTGCCCAGACTCCATTAGGGAGTTCTCTCTCCCTCTCTCTGTACTTTATTTAGCAGCATAACTACTATTCCAAATAGGCACAAAAAATTAAGCCTAGATTTTGGGCCACCAACTGCATTCTCCAATCATTATAATATTGTTAGAAAAGCAACTGAGCCACATCTAACTAAAATAACAGAAGTGTAAATAAAGACAACATCACCTGCAGTTCCAAAGCTTTCCTCCCCCATGTTTTATTATGACGTTTTCCAAACACAGAAAAGAGGTGAAAGGAGTTCACGTACACAAGTCGTCACTTAGACTCTGTGGGTAATATTTTGCTTTCTTTGTTTATCACACATCTGTCCATCTCACCTTCCCAGTCAAGGGTCTCTGTAATTATAGGGACTCTGTGTGAGTTTCAAGCCACCAAGTCCAGGGTTTGAACCATGGTGAGTCAATGCGGGCATCCAGAACCCTAACCACTAGACCACCTACTGGCTCTCATTTTCATTTTTATAAGAAAAAAATGTAGGCCACCCCATAACACAATGGTTAGGCACTATGCATGCGTGTCAGATCCCACATGGCTGACTCAGTTTAAGTACCAGCGCCAGCAGCTTGAAGTACATGCTGGGCACAAGCGCATGTGTGCCCAGACTCCATTAGGGAGTTCTCTCTCCCTCTCTCTGTACTTTATTTAGCAGCATAACTACTATTCCAAATAGGCACAAAAAATTAAGCCTAGATTTTGGGCCACCAACTGCATTCTCCAATCATTATAATATTGTTAGAAAAGCAACTGAGCCACATCTAACTAAAATAACAGAAGTGTAAATAAAGACAACATCACCTGCAGTTCCAAAGCTTTCCTCCCCCATGTTTTATTATGACGTTTTCCAAACACAGAAAAGAGGTGAAAGGAGTTCACGTACACAAGTCGTCACTTAGACTCTGTGGGTAATATTTTGCTTTCTTTGTTTATCACACATCTGTCCATCTCACCTTCCCAGTCAAGGGTCTCTGTAATTATAGGGACTCTGAGACTGGAAGATCAGGCACAGCATCCACTTTCAGAGAAGGAGTAATCGCAGAAATCAAGCCAAATGAAACCCCAGTAGTACCTCTAGTTTACTGAGACTGTGCCAGGACAAACACTTAGCTCAACATTGTAAACTCTGGTACTATCTTGAATATGCTTTCATCTGAACTGCTCTGCTTTCCAAGTTCTGAAAATGAACTATTTACCCTTTAGAAGAACAAAGGGTATTATTGCCCAATTAGCAAAAACTCTTGGTTTCAATAATATAGCATTTTTAATCAGTAGAAGAGATTAATTTTTGGTCATATTAAGCTCTCTAAATTTGAAATTCGTGCGTGTTGGTAAAGCAGTCAATGAAGTAAAAACTCACTCTCTGTAACAGAAACATCTAGAACTGCGGTTCTCAACTGGAGGCAATTTTGCACCCTTCTCTCCCTGGGGCCATCTGGTAATATTTGGAAACTCGGTAATCACAATTTGAAGGGGGCAAAGAGGAATTGGAGGACCATTAGCATTTATTAGCACAAGCCAGGGATGCTGTTAGACATCATATAATACCAAGGACAGCCCCATAAAAGAGGATTACCTGACCCAAAAGATCAGCAGTGCCCAAACTGAGACCTGATCTAGAGTGACAAAGAGAAAAGAAGAAAGGGGTAGGGCGTCCCAATAAGGAAAACCACTACAGAGCAGAGGAGCTGTGCACTTCCACTAGATATAGCCAGTCTCTGGAGACAGAGATCAATAGTCCACAGAGGCGCCACATCACTTTCTTGCCAGGACTAGGCCAGGGCTTCAAACAGTTTGAAGCATCCAGATGCCAGAAACTATCCAAAGGTGGCGGACCTCTAGACAAAATGGAAGAACTGGAACTATGTAACTGTTGTACAACACAGATACATACAAAGAACAATTCAGGCTGAGAAGGAAAACGCCTTGTTTGTCTCAATGTCCTCAATGTCTCACCTCACAGTTGGCACACAACTGACATTCAGTAAATGTTATGTAAAGGGAATCAACTCATCTAGACGCACTTCTGCTGGCTGGCCTTGTATGGCTTTGAGGCATGTCACTTTACCTCTCTAGTCCTATTTCACTACAAACAAAATGTAATGGTATGAGGCATGTGAGAACCCACTTGATGAACTACAAAGCAATATACTAGGTTGTCGGAAACTTGGTTGACTTTTCCAACAACCCAGTATTATACAAATGCAAAGAATAAAAGATTAAAATGCTGCTTCCAAGGGCGCCAACTCTTTCATGTGCCCAAATATTATGTTAGAGGTTAACAATAATCTTTTTTTTTTTTTCACTAATATCCTCATCATGGAAATCGTAACTTAAATTTAATGGGATGAAAACTTAGTTTCAGTTTAAGCAGAAAAATAAAACATGGTATTTTCCCTGCACTTTTAGCCAAAAGAGAGAGGGAGAGAATGCTCTCAGTGAAGTTCTAAAAAGTGTCTCAGGGAGCGGTTTGATATGTGAACTGAATTTCTTAGGAAAATTATTAATATAGAAAGCTATTTATGATACCAATATGTTAGTATCATTTATAAGTTGAGCATCTGTGATCTAAAAATCTAAAATCTCTTGAGTGTTGATATGCTACCATGTGTCAAAATTCCATATGTGAACTCACGTGATGAGTCACAGTCAAAATGCCATATCATAAAACTACTGTATAAAATTACCTTCGGGCTACATATATAAGGTGTATATAAAACATAAATGAGGGACCAGCAGTTAGTGTAATGGCTATGTCGCTGGACTCCCATGTAGTCAACCGAGGTTCGAGTCTCAGACCCGGTGGCTTAAACTCACGTCAGGCGCATGTGTGTGCGTGCCCAAGATCCCAAGAGGAGAATGAAGGAGAAGGGATTGCGGCGTGGCCATCCCCCCGGGGGGCCGATTTCTCTCTTTCCGTCTGTCTCTCTCTGTCTAACAAGCGCATGCACCCTATAGCAAAAACCTCTCAAAAAAAGAAAAAAAAAAGAAAAAAAAACATAAATTAATTTCATGTTTAGACTTGGGTCTCATCCCCAAGATATCTCATTATGTATAGGCAAATATTAAAAAAAAAAAAAAAAAAGAAGAAGAAGAAGAAGAAGAAGAAAGAAAAACCTCAAATCCAAAACACTTCCAAACATTTTGGATAATGAAGAAAGAACCTGTACTGAATACTGCCACAGGCCAGGTAATGTCTAAAAACTTTATAGCCTTTAGTACATTTCTTCTACCCAAATAGAAGTAAATGTATCAATCTCAGGTTGCAGATAAGGAAGCAGGGCCTCCAGAGGTTAAGCAACTTGCCCAGTATCACACAGTGAGCAAGCATCCAGGTAAGGGCAGTGTATATCCAAAGCCCATGTACTCACTGAACGGTCACTACAACATAGATGGTGAAGATAGATGAGCATCGTTTATGAAAAGTCAAACCTATGTTTCTCTGTTCATGAGATCTTTGAATTTCAGACCTTTTTATTTTCATTATCCTGAAAATAAGAACAGATTAACTGAGTTAGTGAGTATTCCTTTGGTTTTTGCTACTTAAAACTTTCAGATACAGCTGAAACTCTAGCTGTGCTTTGACTACTACCTCTTATCAGCTAATCACACCTATCACACATGCTGAACCCTAATAAATCTAATTTCAAAGTCACACTGGCAAGTTCACTCCCTTAATGCCATCTTTGGCATACTTACATAAAATGTACTCTCAGGGACCCATACCTTGCTTGCCCTTTAGGGGCAATGCCCTAAATACCTTTCCTTTGATATCAAAATAAAAACATTTTCCTAATGAGTTCTGGGGAAATAACAAAGTCTGAAAATACTATTCCTGAATTTTTTTTTTTTGAGAGGTTTTTGCTATAGGGCGCGTGTGCTCGCCAGACAGACAGAGAGAGACATAGAGACAGAAAGCGAGAAATCACCCCCCAGGGGGGATGGTCACGCCTCAATCCCTTCTCCTCCATTCTCCTCTTGGGATCTTGAGCACGCACGCACACGCGCCTGGCCTGAGTTTTAAGTCACCGGGTCCAGGATGCGAACCGAAGTCGACTACGTGGGAGTCCAGCGACATAGCCATTACGCTAACTGCTGGTTCCCTTCCTGAATTTAGCATCACACTAGGTTAGGAAAAAATTTCAGAAGGCCAGTAGCCATCTGTGGTAAATAGACTCCAAGATGACTCCCAATGACCTCAGTCTCCTTTTATGTCACATCCTGGCGTCATCCTGCTCACAATGTACCAGGTTGGTCTACATAACCAATACAAATGGCAGAAGTAATGATAAGCCACTGCTGAAGTTAGGTTACAAAGGACTGTAGCTTGCACCTTGGACTCCCTCTCTTTCCTCACCTCTCTCAGATCATTCAAGGAGAAGCCAACTACCACGTCTTCAGGAGACTGGCAGCCCTGTAGAGGTATCCATGTGAAAAAGAACTGAGTCTCAGCCCTGTAGCCTTATGAGAAAATAAGATCTGCCAACAAACCATGTGAGTGAGCCTGGAAGCAAATCCTTCAGCCAAACTGAGCCCTGAGAAAACTGCAGACCCACCAAGAGTTTGCAACGTCAGAGGCTCTAACCAAAACAACCGAGCTAAGTCACTCTCAGGTTCCTGACCTCAGGAACTATAGGCAATAAACATTTATTGTTTAGAGCTACTAAGTTTAGGGCAGTTTTTTTTTCCTGCATGAACAGATAATACAGAACCTTTATGAATTCTTTCTAAAATATGATTGCCTTCTTCCTAGTCCTAAATAGTTGCTTTTGGTTTCAACATAAATCTTTGAATTCTGACAATTGGGAGGGAAAAAAAGCACAGCTCAAACTCTGACCTGAGAGTGTGCTAATTCTTTCATCTTCCTAACCACAGAAGTGAAAATTTAGAATTAGAAAATAGTTTATATACATCTATAACACAATAAGGAAGTACAGAATTAGTTCATTACCTGTAACCAAAAGTTGGCATTATAAGTTACCACCTGGGTCTGGTTTTCCCCTATTTAAGATCTTATTAACCAAGAAGCTTCATATGAGGTATCTTTTACACTTAATTAATATATATTAATAAACAAGTAGGTTAAAGTTTATAGCTTACATTATTATCCTAAAAACTAAAGGTTTTGATTTAAATGTATTCATTAACTAATAATGCATCTTAAAAAAACAGGCCCACGGGCCAACTGGTGGTGTGGAAGCTGGATCCTACATGGCTGACTGCAGTTTGAGTCCTGGACCCAGTGACTTGAAAAACACACCGGGTACACGTGCATGTGTGCCCCAAATCCTGAGATGAATGGAGAAGAGATTGCAGTGTGGCCACACACACACACACACACACACACACACCCCAAGGGATGATATTCTCTCTCTCTCTGACTCTCTGTCTCCAGGGAACATTTACACCCTATAGCAAAAATGTATTGAAAAAAAGAAAAAAGGCCCAGCCTCCATGATGCAATCAGCAGCACACTAAGCTGCAATGCTAAATAAGTGGTACGGACAGCCATGGGTTCAGATCCCCAACAGTCAACCTAAAACACTCCAGGTGCACGCATATGCTAAAGATCCTGACTAGCCAGAAGGTGGGGGAAGGGGAATCACAGCATGACCAGGTCCTGCTGAGGGTTCCCCTCCCTCTCTCTCTCTCTCTCCTCTCTCTCTCTCAATCTCTCAGAGGCATGCAGGCACTATCATGAATAAAATAAACTTAAAAAAATTTTTTTTAGTTATTTTAGAATTAAAAGGGAAAAAATGTCACTTCTAGACCCATTGCCCAAAGACAACTTTGCTCTTACCAGTTTTTTCCCCTATATTTTTTCTGAGTAGAGGTGGTATACTTGTAACCATATGTAATCAGACATCCAAATCTGGTAGTAAACGTGACTGAGATAATTATTCAGAGAAATATCTCATATCAATTCCAAAATTATTCCTATAGGTTGTAAGAAAGTATAGTGATAGGGTTTGTTTTTCAGTTTCATTCAGATGAAGCTATGAATAAAGGCAGCAATCTCTTCAGTTTTATAGGTTCATTAAAGCCACACTACAGTCCCTTCTCCTCCATTCTTAATTCATGACGATCAAGTAAACTTTGCAGAGATACAGACTTCCTTAGAACTCTGCTACTGAGCTGGGGCTGTGCCTCAGAGCAGTCCTCTCATCCTTTAAGACTTACCTTTTCTTCAAGCTAATAGTGATTCATCTTTAGATAGATAAAATGTCTTTTCAGAGTAAAATTTTACAGAGCATATATTCTTAGACCCACACATTGAGAATGCCTGTCTGTTGTCCCTGCATATGAAATCTATCTCTACTATGTATAAGCTCCATGGTGGGGTGAGAGCACAACTTTTTCCCATTAAAACGCTATAGGCAAATGTAGCCCCCAATACTTCATACCATAGGGATGAATGCCAGTCTTATTTCCATCACTTTTAAATTTTTTCTTTGTACTTGCTCCACTCCTACCATCAATCCATAGTGCAAAAATATCACCAAGATAAGTCTAGGTAGAGGTTTCTGTCCATTAGTATTACCTTCTCATCTTTACACTTCGTTTTTTCATCTCGGAAACACTTTTTCTCTCCAGTTGTATCTCTTAAATTATTCTTCTTTTCCGATGCTTTGTTTTGCTTTCTTCCTTAGGTGTTATTTACATATTCACAGACTGTGCATTTATTCTCTGTTCTCCAGATTTTATTTTCTCTATCATTTTTTATCTCCTTCCTCTGCATTTTGGGAGGGCTTCCAAAGCTTCCTACATCATCAATTCAATTTTCTTCAGGGTGAACTGTCCATTTAATATTATATTTTCAATTTAACTACAATTTTTCCTCCCAAACTTGGCTTTTCTTCCCAAATTTGGGTTTTCAAGTAGCCTTCTTTCTCTATGATTTACTGTTCCCATTTCAAAATGATTCTATCTTCTTATATCCTGACAAAATGTGTCTAAGAAGTTCTTAGAAATACCTTCAAAGAAGTGTTTTTCCTCTGAACTTTTAGAATGATATTCCCTTTCCCTTATTCTGCAGAATTTGTTCAAAGGCCTCTTGTTGGTATTTGCCAACAGAAAGGATGCATACATTACCCTTGGTCCTATTCTCTACTCCCATGGATATGGGTAACATGCTCCTCTCAGATCTGTAACTGGACGAAAGGATAGCAGAGACCCTAACCTAATTCCCAGTGTTACTGGTAGGCTTTTATCTCGTACAGCTCTGCTAGATCGAGATAGGATCTCCTTACACTCACTGCCTGATTCTGACCCCATTCCAGAAGTCTGCAATAAATGGAAGCATATAAAATACCATCTCCAAAAGGCGCTACAAAGACGGTTTTATTCCTTCTCTGCCTATGCCAACAGAACACTTCATTCTTGGAGACGATACTTCCCAAGACTCAATACCTTGTGAATGCTTCCTACCCCCAAACACAAATACACAAGAAACACTAAGATCCCCTATCTAAGTGTATTCTGGGAATTACAGTACAAATAGTAACGGAAAGATATCGACTGGGAAGTGAAAGATGGAACACTACCTCCAAGTGCAGCTGCCCAATCTTCTGACTGAAAAGAACCTTGCATATCTGAACCAAGGGTTGACTGCAGAGAAAGGATGCAGGGTAAAGCTGGAGAGAAAGAGCAGGCTCAGCACTGGCAACGGCCCCAATGCATTCTGCAGTACGGTTCTATCAGCCTTGCAGTTTGAGGAAAACTTTACAATAGGCCAATGGTAAATCCTACTTTCCAGTTACGTAGGTTTACAATGTGTTGCGCTTCCGTAAGTTTATTCTAGTAGGCAGCTGAAGCTACGTATCAGATACCATTTATTTATTTATTTATTTATTTAGAGTTTCCTTCTTCTGCTAAAGGGTGCATGCTTTCTCCAGAGAGACAGAGGAAGAAAGAGACAGGAGAAATCACTCCTCCAGGGGGGATGGCCACACCACAATCCCTTCTACATTCTCCTCTCAGGATTTTGGGTATGCATGCACACACACCCAGCATGAGTTTCAAGCTGCCAGATTCAGGACTCACATCACAGTCGACCATGTGGGAGTCCAACACCTTAATGAGTATGCTACCTCTGGCCCCCAGATACCTTCTAACACAAGAAAGTACAATGGTGGGAGGCAGGTCACGACCAAAAAGAATCTCAGAGTCTCAGTATGGCAAGGGACCCTACATGACTTGAGTCCTGGACCAAGAGGCTTGAAAAAACAAGATAGGATAATGTGCCTCAAATCACTATAGGATAGTGAAATGGAAAAGAAGGGATGGCTGTGTGAACAAAATGGAGAAGAGATTGCAATGTGACCATACCTTATGAAGGGGTGCTTTCTCCTTCTCCTCCTCCTCTCTGTCTCTGGTGAGCACAAGTGCCTTCTGGGAATAATTTTTGAAAAAAGAGAGACTCTTTCAAGAGACAGGCTTTTCAAGAGACAGTCCTTCAAATATAATCATATCATATATATAATACTTTCCAAGTTGTCTTTTTCAGTTGTTCCTAAGGGTATACTAGTAGAACTTTGCACAATTCTATATAAGCACACTATGCCAGCTATTCGATACACTCCATGCGGTACTGCCAACTGCAACAATGGGAAATATATTCCTGGTCAGTATCTTTATTTACAGAATAGAAAACAGAACATCTGTAACCTACCACATACATTCTTTTCCACAGCTCCAGTAACCCCTGATTAATGACCTCCACTTGCAAAGGAGGCTACTTACCTTAACCATGAAATAATGAATGCTATTGATCCAACAAGCTACTGCTATAGAGTGTTATTGATCACCCAATCTTTGGTTAAAATGGTCCTCATTTAGCAATTCACTGTCACAAACACCTGGAGCAAAGCACACTTATAATTAAAGAGTTTGGGGGAGTTAAAGTGAGAGGTGATGGACAGAGATCTCAGCATTCTCCCATTTATTCTTGCTTCTGAGCTATTGTTTGTGTCAGAAGGGATATTGATTTTCTATAAAAATAAGAAAACAAGAGGCACCAAGGGGCCGCAGAAGGTCAGCTTGGGCTGCAAAAGGAGGGGGGAGGTATAGCACTCTATCTCTGTCACTTGCCTTCCAAGAAAAAGGAATATTTTCTTTCCTGTGAGAGAGGCTTCTAATACATCACCTTAAGAAAGCTCCTGAATGTGACTTCAGGCCATCACCCAACCAATTGACTTATGAAAAATAAAAAGACTCTAAACTATTCGCAAAGGGAACAAATGATGTAGTGAAGAACAGAATATGGTCACCTAAAAGAGAATAGCCTTTAATAGCTGCTATACAGACAACTTCAATAAAGATCAGTAGAAAGTAATTTTACACAAATTGTTCTATTTTAGAATATTCACTAACACACATACCCAGAAAAATGCTAAAATAATATTTTGATCTTTATATAGGCATTAAAATACTATTATATCATAACCACTTTCAGTTTTCCAGACTTCATGAGGGATTGGCTGGTGGAGACTTGAAGGCAGAAGAGAAAGAAAGAAGCAAAAAGAAATATTAATAAAGTGTAAAACTACTTCATGCAAAGAATGAACTTGAAGAAATTAGAAATAAAGCTGATCGAGACATATACTTTCAAATCTAAAACACCTAATATATGCTTTTTAACAAACTTTAACTATTGACTAGACTAAGCTAAGCTTAATGAGCAATTCCATCTTCACAACTTTACAAGGTGGATCATTACTCTGACAAGCCTCAACTCAACAACCCTCACTGATAAAAAGTAAAGGTCCATGTTTTGATCAGTATTTGAATAATCAGTGGCACATCCAAGCAGATTTATGAAAGAGTAACCAATAGGATTTTTAAAAGAATTTCTTTCAATGCAAAGAAGGAAATGTTGAAAAAATCAACTCACCAAGACAGTATAATATCCAAATCAAACACTACTCTCTACTTACATTCTAATATTAGTCCTGTTTATAAGGTGCACTTAATAATCAAGACCAGCTTGAAAATGAGATTTTAGTACCCCTCCCTGTTGAGAAGAGGCTGTACATAATATGCAGCTAAAGACTAAGGGGCCTAGCCTGTGGCTCAGGATAACGCACTGCTCAAGAGAAGCTGATCCCATACAGTGAATGGGGTTTGAATCCTTGGCCTCATCAGTCTGAAATACTCAGGGTACGCATGCAATTACCCAGGATCTGATGGGCTAGAAGATGGGAGGAAGGGGACTGCAATATGACCACACCCTGAAAAAGGTGCTCATTTCTCTCTTTCCACTGTCTCTCTCATTCTCACATGTACCCACATGTATTCTATCATGACTAAAGAAAAAAAAAAAAGTTCAAAGAATAAGAATATAAGAATTACTCCTCCTTCCTCATAGGATGGATTAAGGGGGGAAAAATACAAGTACTTAATGTTTGTAACTGGAGCTGAATCAAGACAAATCAAGGGGAATTCAGGACTCCTAAATAATTAGATTTTAAAGACTTTCTCATTCCATATCTACTACTATTCTACCTATACTTTCTTTTTAAGAATTATTTATTTAATTTTATCTATTATTATTTACATTTGACCAGAGAGAGACAGAGAGAGACAGAAAAGTGAGAAAGCAAGCCACCAGGTCTGAGGTTCAAAACATGATCAACCACGTGGGAGTCCAGTGTTTTAAACACACCACCACCCGCCAGTCCCTATTATTTCTTCATAGCTACAAGGACTCTGGCATCCACATCCTTGAGAGAACTCTGAACTCCTGGACCAGGGAGACAGCCCAAACGAGTAAACCGGGTCTCCTCAATTTTGGAAAAGAATTTCATAAGAATTTCTGTCTACTTCATTATATCCAGACTCAAATAACAGGACTTTATATAATCACAACAACTATGGACTGGTGACTATATCTATTATTATTTACATTTGACCAGAGAGAGACAGAGAGAGACAGAAAAGTGAGAAAGCAAGCCACCAGGTCTGAGGTTCAAAACATGATCAACCACGTGGGAGTCCAGTGTTTTAAACACACCACCACCCGCCAGTCCCTATTATTTCTTCATAGCTACAAGGACTCTGGCATCCACATCCTTGAGAGAACTCTGAACTCCTGGACCAGGGAGACAGCCCAAACGAGTAAACCGGGTCTCCTCAATTTTGGAAAAGAATTTCATAAGAATTTCTGTCTACTTCATTATATCCAGACTCAAATAACAGGACTTTATATAATCACAACAACTATGGACTGGTGACTATAAGGTACAACAGTTGTGTCTAAGGTAAAAGGGAATGAGAAAAACTGAAACACCTCACAGCTAGCTTACAGGTTCTGTATCTGAGGCCATAATCAGGTGCTATCGCAGACAGAGTGAACTGTCTCACGATTATGTCCTAGTTTAATAAGAAATTTGGGGGAAGAAACATACACAAGCTATCATTCCAATAGGCTATTTTAAAATCGCCATCCTTTGGCTAGTCAGTGGCATGGAGATACAGGTGCTGAACCCTACATGGCCAACTCTGTGATTAGAGTATTTGACCTGATGGTTTGAAAAACAGGCTGAGTGCATGTCCATGTGTGCTCAAAATTCCAAAAAGAGAATGGAAGTGAAGGGATTGTGATGTGGCCAATTCCCCACGGGGTGTTTTCTCACTTTCCCCCTCTTTCTCTCCAGCAAGCACAAGTACCCTACAGCAAATTTAAATAAATAAAATAAAACCACACTCCTCAATAGTAAGAAGATTCCTATTTAGTATGTATGGGGGAGGGTTCTTCAAAAACTCCATAGCAAATGCGTATTAAAAAATTATGCGTGGATTTCAAAATGTTTTGAACCAAAATAAACTTGTACTTCAATTCCATTTTTTTATGAACTTTTGGAAGTCCTATCACTCAATATTAAAATTAACTTGAATGACTCAATAGGATTCAGTATTATTAAAGGCTACAAATTGGCTTAAGTGTTTCTTGTTTGATTAAAAATAGCATGATGAGGAGAAAACACCTTTATAATCCAAAAATATACATAAGAATTGGGTAAAAAGGCATTAGAACAAATTAGGCATGAGAGGACAATTAGGAAAGCCGATTATGAGCCTACTTCAAAATAATTGAGCAGGATGCCAAACACAGAATTAGTAAGAAAAGTTTAAAAGCTGGATTAAAACCATCCATGAAAGGCATAGGCATACAGACCTAACCGGCTCTTCCTGTTACTGTCACAGCATCGCTTCAGAGTTCCTAAAATCCATGCCTTTGTTTTCAGACAACCTCAGAAGAAACAAAGTCTGAAGAAAGGTCATACAGTCTAAAATTGCAAAAGCTGAGACAGAAAAGGATCATGGAACAGGCAAAAATTTGACAGCCAAACATGGCAGTTAAGTAAGAGCTTTGGAATCAGATTTGAGTCCATTTTGCCAATTGATGACTTCAGGTAAATAACCTAAACTATCTGGACCTCACTTTGCTCCTCTATAAAATACAAATGGTGGTGGCTGCCATACAGTGGGATTGTGAACATTAAATAAGAATATATGTCAAGCATGTGGCTCAGTGCCTAGCACACATTTAGTGCATAGTAACTGTTAACTAATATTAACGGTTAATAGAACAGGGTAGTTCTCAGTCAGGAGTGCTTAACTCACACAGGGAGCAAAACTGCGAGGTATCTGGATCTAAACAATGAAATGAGGTGGGAACCATGTAGAGATACTAAATATCCTGCAAAGTACCACAAAGAATTGTCCCACCCAAAACACCAACAGCATCCTCACTAAGAAACAGCCATTGGGTTAGCACATGGTCGACTGTGGTCTCAGTCCCGGACCTAGTAGCTTGCTTTTTCACTCTTCTCTGTCTCTCTCTAGTGAGCGCACAAGCCCTATAGCAAATTAATAATAATAATAATGATAAATAAAATTAAATAACTCTTTAAAAAAAGAAACAGCTATCACAGGTTAATATTAATAACATTAAAGTATGAATTCAGAGGTACAATAGTTCTTGTACTGAAATGCAAAAAAATAAAGTTACCCAAAACTACAGTGAAATTTCAAACATGTACTCAAAGAACAATTTTTCTGGCTTGATCACATTCGGTATAAGACTAATGGGACTCAGTACTGTTATTTTTAAAGCCCACAATGTTTTGGGGCAACTTGAATTATCAGTTACAAAAAATAAACTCAATATAGTTCAATTGTAAATATAAGAGAACAGAATTCTGACCCAAAGGTAGCTGAAGCCATGATTCACAATGGGGAAAGGCATCTAACCAGAACATTTACTAACTCCATATACCTGGCACCAGTATTTTTTCATACACACACACACTCACACACACACACCAGTATTTTTTCATACATACACACACACACACACATACATATAGACGGACAAAGATCAGCCTGTACCTATATATTTATAGATCTATATAAATCTTTATATAGTTACAGAGACCCTGATTCTAAAGGATAATATCTTTGCATGAACTATATGCATGATTAATAATAATAATAATGATAAATAAAATTAAATAACTCTTTAAAAAAAGAAACAGCTATCACAGGTTAATATTAATAACATTAAAGTATGAATTCAGAGGTACAATAGTTCTTGTACTGAAATGCAAAAAAATAAAGTTACCCAAAACTACAGTGAAATTTCAAACATGTACTCAAAGAACAATTTTTCTGGCTTGATCACATTCGGTATAAGACTAATGGGACTCAGTACTGTTATTTTTAAAGCCCACAATGTTTTGGGGCAACTTGAATTATCAGTTACAAAAAATAAACTCAATATAGTTCAATTGTAAATATAAGAGAACAGAATTCTGACCCAAAGGTAGCTGAAGCCATGATTCACAATGGGGAAAGGCATCTAACCAGAACATTTACTAACTCCATATACCTGGCACCAGTATTTTTTCATACACACACACACTCACACACACACACCAGTATTTTTTCATACATACACACACACACACACATACATATAGACGGACAAAGATCAGCCTGTACCTATATATTTATAGATCTATATAAATCTTTATATAGTTACAGAGACCCTGATTCTAAAGGATAATATCTTTGCATGAACTATATGCATGAACAGCAGCAAATTGTTTTTCAAAACAAAATTCTTGGTGATGTACACACTGAGGCACAACACTTAGGAACAAATGTGTTTCTATTACATAAAGCCTTCTTGACATATGGAAATAGGTTCATGATTCGTACTTTAAAAAGCTAGAGGTAAAGTAAATTAAAGGCAGGCTATAAAATGAATACTAGAGCAGCTGGTTTGTAAGAAAGTAGAATTCATAAGATTGTGGACCTGTACTTTGGGTAAAATTAACCAGGAAAAGCTTCGTCTTAGCAAGGGAGATCTCACCATTCTGACATATTCTCATCAGAGCCCTGTTTTTGTTCATCTGCTTCACACTCCATCCTTTCTTTCCTTCCTGTTTTGCTTAGGAAAGTCCTATTTTCTGCTGATTCACACAACCCGTGGCCTGACGAGGTCCAGGGAGTATTCTCCTTCCAGCGAGACAGACGCTGCTTCTTAGCAGACTTGAACCTGCAGCCTCTCTCATAGCTCCAATCTGACACCTTCAGCTTTTGCTGAAGGCTGGCAGCTACCTCTGACGTCACCCGCTTGACCTTCCGCCGGCGCCTGAGTGGCCGACAAGGTGCATTTTCAGTAAAAGAGTCAGACTCGTGCCAAGAATGCTGCTTACTCTTAACAATGGCGTTGAGAGCTGGGTGCCTTTTGGCTACCATTGTGTCATCAGAGTCACTAAAGTTGGCGACCGGGGCCACTTCTCGACAGTCCTTAACGGCCTCATCCAGACTTGACTCAGAGGCCTCACTGTAGCAGCAGGTATGCTCTGCCAGGTGAGTGAAGTCAGAACGACGCTTCCGGCCTCGGCGTTTCCGCAGCTGCCGCCTCTGCTGCCGAGGGCTCAGGGCCATCTCCTCCCACAGCTCTCCGAGCTTATTCTGCTCTGATGTCTGCTCCAAGGCTGAGGCTAAATCATGTACCAGTTCATCCATGAGGCCACATCTGCCAGGAGGAGGTTTCAATAAATGAATACAGAAAAGAAAAAGAAAGCCTGAAAAGGATCTATTGTTTTATAACAATTTTGTAAAACGGATTATGAGCCCCGCCTATCTATAAGAAACAGTCACCTTTCATCTGCTACGCTCAACAGGCTGTTCCTACCAACTTTGCCCCCTGGGACCACTGAAAATAGGTGTTTGGCCCTGTTAAATGCCGAAAGCCAACATTTACTAATCATGAAAACTAAAATGCTCACAAGATGACAACTGGGATATTAAAAATAAGTACGCACACTCAGGGGACTAGATCTTGTCTCCTTTCTCCCCAATTAAACTTGTCACTGGATTACCTGATGCTATCCAACAAGATTAGAGAATGTCTCATCAGGCAGGGGTAGAAAAACACACAGCTTCAAAACCATAGCAGAGCTGGGGACACAGGATAGGACCCAGTCTCGCCACGGTACTGAAAACTTTTAAAGAACTGCTCTGTGGTCTGAAGTTTCTGCTAACAAAGTGCGTGGCGGTGAACTGAAAGACAACTTAGTGACACGCTTTACGGAAAATGGTTTGCTGTTTTGTTTGGTTGTCGGAAAAGTCATGAAGCATTTTTGCATTTAAAAAAATAGAAAAATAAGTCATGATTTTCCCAAAGACCTAATAGTTACCCAAAAATTACTGATAGGAGTGACCTGGGTTTTTACTCAGAATGGAAAAAGGAGACTAACTCTGTACTCGTTCTGGTACCAACTACCACCTAGAAGCACCTAAGGACAGACTCTTATGGAGTATGTCATATGTGTTGACTGATTAGCAACTTTTAAGCTCTCTGTCCTTCAGAATATAAATTAAGTGATCATCCTAATTATGGCTTTCACAGAAAAACGGTATACAACAGAAGACGAAATGACAGGAGTGGGTGGAATCTAAGATTTCTGGCTAACTACTTTCCAAAATTTCATTCTCATCAAGCTATCATATTTAGGGTCACTTCTGAGGCAAAACTTCCAAGAGATTATAGTAGGGGCAATTTTCAAAAGTCCCTTTAGAAAAAAATCTTTTAAAGGGAAACTGTCTAATATGATTTGCACAACATCTAATTAAATCTATATTCGATTAGTATTTTTCCCCTAACCTTTGTTAAGCCCGAAGTATATTTTAAGACCCTAATTAGTACATAAAACTGTGTGCAGCCACTCTCAGACCAGATTTCTGCTCATGCAGTTTTCATTTTGCAAAGGGCTTTCTAAAACTTATCTTCATGCTGTCCTTAACCCAAGGAAATCAAAGACAGAAGAACACTTTTCTAGCATATCTGCCACATCTGTGGAAGCAATAGGGACGTCTATTTCCAAAACTACCACTCACTCAAAATTTGTCCAAGTCAAAAGGTACACACTTTTTATAAAAAGATCAAGTCCTTTTAAACAACAGAAAGGTTTAAAACACCATTTTGGGGGGCTTGGGAGACAGTTGTTCCTAAGACTAAAATAGGTAAGTGGAAACAACATGTCTAAATCTACTTCCCTAATAACGACCTACAGTTTTAAAAACTCGGACCACACTGCACAAATCTTAACGTGAAATCTAGTCACCAAACAACTTGTTGAGATGCCCATGCAGAATCTTTCTCACCACAAAGTCTGCAATTCGAACAGCAGGTGACAAAACCCTGGGTTTCCGACACCTTCAAGTCTCAGGTGCGCACTCGCAAGGGCCCCAGGACCTGGCACGCACACCCAGCGAGGGTCGAGGCAGGGCTGTCGCTGTTGGAGTCACGCAGAGAAAGGAACGGGAAGCTGATGGCCAGCAAGTGCGGCAAGCGCAGGGTCCGAGGGTACGGCCGGGATGGAAAATGGGGTAGGCAGGAGGCAACTTCTCATTTGGACTCACAAGGGACAAGTAGGTCAACCCTTCTAGGGCAGAAACTGCAGAAACCAAGTTCGGCAACTGAGCTTCCCCCCATGATCGGAGGGAGCTACACGACCACATTTGTTAGAAAATCCGGATTCAAATGACTATCCACCACGCCCCGGCCAGTCTCCGAGGGTTAGAGCGTCCGACACGGCTCACGACACTAAGCCCTCACGCTGTCGCCCGCTCAAGTGAGACCGCAAGAAGAAAGAAGAGGACGGTCGCCCGTTAGAAGGCCTGACCCTCGTCCCCAGGGACGGTGGCACGGGCCCTTAAAAGCAAGGCCCCTCCACCCGTGAGACCGCAAGAAGAAAGAAGAGGACGGTCGCCCGTTAGAAGGCCTGACCCTCGTCCCCAGGGACGGTGGCACGGGCCCTTAAAAGCAAGGCCCCTCCACCCGCCCCTCCCGCAGACCG